TAAGCTAAAACTCTACGACACGTCGGCACAGTTAAAGTAAATATAACTATATATACCATCTATTATATAATATGTATTTATGTATATTGTAAACGTTTGGTGTGACTTAAAAGTTATAACTACATAGGTGCCTACTTTATATGTCACGTCTTGCATCCTATTCATCTTTTCAAGTGTTCGTTTTTTGTAACTTAAATTTACATTACAAAATCTTTATCTAATACCTATTGAATACAATATGTTATATGTAAGTACTGTATATTGTATATTCAATGTTGATTAATGTATAATCGTAAAATACATGTACTATCCATTCCTATATGGGCTATTTGGCTAAATATTTAATTGTTTTTCCATACCTACTGATTTATTGAAAGGTTTCAGATTGAACTTTATTCGAATAATTAAAACGTTTTACTGAATAAAGCTTACTGAGGATTTACTTATTTTGCGTTATTATTATAATTTAATTTATCCATTGAAACCGTATATATAACTCACTAGTCTATTGTTACACCTTTGCACCTGTTTGTTACTTGCTTGTATATTGTATAAATTAGAAAAAAATGACTAAAATATTCACTCCATATCGCGACGTGGTATAAACTCTTTTAAGTTATTTTATTACTGTATTTGTATAAATGAAAATAGAAGTTCACAGAAAAGCTACCAATAACTATAACGATCAGCAATTGTAACTTATAAATAACCACCATATGCGGAACTGAAAATATGCTCGGGATATTCACAAAGAACAAAGCAGTACGGCGCTACTTGTGTAGACAGGAGTCGGCAGATGTAAGACAATTTTTATGAAAATATGAAATGTATTATTATATATAATTTATGATTATTATCATATAGTATAAGTGGTGTAGGACCTACCGGGATTATCTAATGTTATTGTCTCCGTCTTATGTGCTTAACATAATGGCAAATTTTAAGCTCAGCAGATCAAGTTTATAGCTCCGCTAGTTTAAAAATTAGAGCGAATTGACTTCTTATAAAATTTAAAGGTGAGATTATCATCTGTTAGGTTTTTTTATTATATTTTAATTTTAAATCAAAATTTTAAAATTTTAAATTGTTAGTACATCTTAAAATACTTGTAACTCGGTAGATATAATTAAAAGCCTATGAAATGCCTTAGATCAAGGTGGTCCAACCCGCGGTCCGCTGGTCTATTTAGGCTCTCAAAGCCTTTTTCTTGGCACTACTTAGAAAACTATGTTTCATAATTTTGGTATTTTAAGTGTGATAAATTTAAAAAAAAACTAAGGCGGTGGTAGAAGGTGCGTTGGCAGTACTAATCTATACGTATTCTATAATGTTATAAACTTGTGTATTATATTATGTTATTAATTATTATAGTTAATATGTTTGTTATAAAATAAAATATCAATACAAATATTTTTTTTATTTTTGGAGTCCCCATATAAATGTTTAAATTGGCCCACCAATTACAAAAGGTTGGAACACCCTGCCCTAGATAATAATCTTACCTTTAAATTGTATAAGGTCAATTTACTTTAATTTTTAAACTAACTGATCTAAAAGTGATTTGCCGAGCGTACAATTTGCTAAGTAATATGTTACACACTTGTAAGACGTAGACAAGAAATGCTCGTGTACCGTCCTTTTGTGGCTAGATAAATAAAATAAAATAAATGCACTAAAATATTAAATTATGTGTGTAGTACCGAGTAGGTACCCAATAATATTATTATCATAATATATTTTGATGATTTATGATTATGAATAGTAGTTGTACAATTAGTTACAAAATAATATTTTATTTTTTAATTTTTTTACGCTAAATCCAATCTGTCCCTTTAGGGACAATAAGAATATGTGATAATAGAAAATATAATGCATGAATACTTGATGGGAGCAAAATTATATAAAATAAATTCTATCTGTACGTTGTGATAAAAGTATATTTATAATAGTACCTATTACCTAATACTTTTATAAAAATCTAAATATCTAATAACATGGAAAAAAACAAAAAAAAAAGTTCGAGTTTACTATCAACCCCACAAGATTAGGTGCATGCAAAATACATGAACATAGAATATTTATATATAGTTTGATGTAGGTAACATATTTATATGATATGTATGAATTAATAATTATTATGTAAGTACCTATATGTACTATATTTTAATACTATATACCTAATTGTAATTATTTTTATTTATATTTAAATTGTATCGGTAACCACGGCTATATTAATATTATTTATAACTTTTTACTATGTTGGTAACATAAACATGACGTATAAAACTATCCTATACCTGTAAATATCAATATGCATTTATTATTCAGTTCCAGGTACACAATATATATATTTCTGTAGATACATTACGATATTGGATTTTGGATTGAATAATAAATTGAATTAAATACAATATACATATTTTATGGAGTAGGTAATTCACGTTTGGCACAAATGGGTTTTGAAAAGTTAAAAACCAATAATCAAATTAATAAAAAATACTAATATTGTAACAACTAACAATATTATTCTTTCGTATACATTTATAGGTTACTACAGTTATTGCCTTACCGGTGTACCCACCGTAGAATGCAGATGCAACTATTTGCTATACAATATAAAATAATAATTATATATATATATATAAATAATATATACATATATGTTATATGTACTATAGTTGAATAATTTCCGTATGTAGGTGGAGCTTTATTTTTAAATTTGACTTTCACTTCGACGACGGGTTATTGTACATCGTATCGTAACAGTTTGTTAAATTAGATACGTTTTTTTTAGGTTATTAGTGTTCCTCAGGCGTGTTTCATATTATCTAATGACAACACAAGTGACCTTTTTAAAATGTTTTTTGGAAACCATAATCAGTTCGTTGATCACGATAAATTATAATAACAGTAACCCACTGCGGCGTAGGTAATATGGTGGGGAGTAGGAACTGTATAATATGTTGTCAGAGTATACATTTTGTTATTATGATTTTTAATAAAACCTAAAGACTAATAATATAATACATTTCACCGTATAAATACATAATCGGCAAGTTACTAATATTTATTTACAGCACAGAAATACCAAGGATATTTGTACATTAATAATCTGCAGCACGTATTTCGTACATACCTATATCGAAATCACTATATAACTATACCTATATTATATACACTAGCGTATTATTAGGAAATATGTATATTGTATATTTGTATTATACTTTTCAATAATCACGCTATTGTCGGCTCTTTTCGAAACGGAAATGATCTAAAACGGACTTCGGGTTACATTATACATAAATATAGTATACCCACACACCTGTAATCTCGCGGATCATAATATTCATATACCCAGGTAATTTAGGTTAGCCGAGTTGTCTACCAAATACTGATATTATTATTAAACCAGCTGAAATCGTAGTAATTGTATCATATTATTCCATTTGAATTTTATGTCTGGTTTCGCTGTTCGTTTCGAAACGAGCGAACTCTCCATATCTGTACATCATGAGGATATACTATAAAGTTGTAATATACTATACGTCTATACTGCAATCAGCACACTGCTGCAGCCTTTCGGCCGCGTTGTGTTTTATTTAGCATTACGTTTATTATATGGTGACCCATAAAAAGTAGAGACCGATATTATACTCATAATAATTCTAGAACTGTTTCATTTTTCATAATAATAAGTTAACGCCTCCTTCTGGACGGCGGCGTCGCGTGACAACTGTGTATAATGCAAAATTAAATTTTATACATAGCTAATACATAGAGACCCACGCGCGCGTGTTGTGCACTGCATATTTCGTATGTATATAATATATAATTACTATTTACTATATACGCACGCGTATGTTTTAAGCCGATAATTTAGGCAACACGTATTATTAACCCAGTGTATACGCGGTCAACACAATACACAATGTATATATTTATTTATTATAATACGCGACCTCAACAGTCAACAGCATATAATACGATCTTTTTTTTTACGCTCAATTGTTCCAGCCACAGAGTTCATTATACCGACGACGACGACGACGACGACGGTGCGATATGACGATATTGTATTATGTAATAACAGTATTTATTTTTAAATAATGCATATTAAAAGTAAACGAAAATTCGGAAAAATTGCAGTCAAAAGTAGTACTGATGTACTGAAATGACTCGCGTGTTTAAATTGCCGTCTTCGTCGACGATATACAAACACCATCGTCTGGAGATCGTAAAAAAATAAAGTATCAACTATCTAGCCGATGACGATCCGTCGCCGATAATGTGATAGTGTCAGAGTGCGCGCAAAAACTAAACCTATAATATTGTATACGCAATACGCACAGCGTACCTATAAATATTTATGATATGGTCACCAGGCAGGCGTAGTATTATATGCTCGTGCGGTCGTGCGACGATCACGAAATCGGAGATTTCTATACGAATTTCTCTGCGACCATACGCCTAACTGTTTATTATATATGTACCTACCTACGCAATACGCTCGTCGTTAAAAGTCGAGTCGTGGCGATGGGTATGTATAGTGTATATACGTATATCGTGTAGGTTCCTGTGAATCGTGTTGTAGACGTCTTCTGCCGCGGCTGGCCCGAATCGGACGACCATTAACCACTAACCGCGGTATACCTACTCACAATGCACGTACATACCGGATACCAGATATACCTATATGTACGATAATAAGTACAGGTACCTACGGATAAAATATATATTATAACGCGGTCCCCCTAACGGCGGCCGCGTCCTTGGCACGGTAAAAAACTCAGCGGCCGGTTGAAGGTAGTATAGTACGCACTAATAACAATAATAATTACGTCGGCGGCCGTTTTCGGTGGTTTAGTGGCGGCACATCTATATATACGTAAAACGTATGCATTATATATATATATATATATACATACGCTATGACATCATCGCACATGCGCGCGCGAGCGCTCTGTAGTTTCAAACTCTCGTCACATTAATAATACATTGTTGGATACTCGAGCCTCGAGTGTGTCGCTGTCCGCGGTTCAGTTGCGCCCGATACGCCGTCAATCTTCGACGTCGCCGCCGAACTTACGCCAACAGAGTTTCGACGGTTTTCCCCACGATCTCCGCCCCGTAACGTCCGTCGACCGATCTAAATTTTCTCGTCCCGCAACAACTAGTGGTCGCGGCGTCCCGTTCAAGTCTCCAGACGCGACGACATGGCCAATTACGTTTCCACAAAAGTAAGCGGCGTTAAATTTATACCATTATAGAATATTATACCAATATATTGCCGTCGGTACATTAGAGATTAGTATATGCGGTCTTATTATGATAATTAATAATTATATGCATAGGTCGCACAAACGATGTGCACACACGACAAATACTTACATGCAATGAATATAATATAAATTAATGGCATGTATACTCATGTATACATTTAAAAATAATATATAATTGTCATTATTATTTTTTTTTTTAATTTTTCTTCGTACTTGCAGTTGTTCTAATGTTCCATCAGGGTTTGATAATCGGTCATACTACATTTATATTGATTAGAGTTGCCCATACTAAAAGTTAAATATAATTTGGTAGACGATAGTATTATATTTATAACGTACCTACTACTTACTAGCATATTATAACCATTCTTTGATATTTTGACCTGGGATCTACCAGGCCCTCTAGACCTCTCGCCGTAAATATATTACTCGAGTCATTGGGTAAGTGGGTACGTCGGAGAGGAGGAGATGAGAGAGCACAATTTTTTTTAGGCATTTCACTTATGAAATTACATAGTTATTTGAATAATAAAAAAGGGCGTTACTTTTTTTTAACCTTCTTTGGCAATAATATAAGCACTACCTATTTAATATTTTTAACAAACGAGATACAACGTTTCCGTTTCTATTTTCGGCCTAACCGAAATAACATTTTTTGTTTATTTTAGTCTTTCATGGAATATATTAGAAGCAGCACAACAACTACACAACTTCTTTAAAAGATATGAGGAAACAGGTTATGAATTAAAAACATTTTAATGGACTTAACCTCCGCCCGTTGATAATAATATTTCCTAAATACTTAAAGTTACTACACTGACGCTTAGCCAGAGGTTTTGCCTAGCTTTTTCGGTGCCGAATACAAAACGCCGGTTACATGTATTAATGTATTATATTTTAACATTTAGCCTTTAGGTATATCTGCAGCTAAGCTGCTTATTATTTAAATAATCATGTTCTACGACCTTTTACATTATAATAATTGGTGGGACACTTCATTCAGTGGCTTTAGGTATTATATCTTCAAGAGACAAGCGTAGCCAACCTGATAATATGGAGTATTCAATATTATAGTTGGGAGCGAAAGGCAAAGCAAAAGAAGTATAGAAGAAAATTAAATCAAGATAAATTAAACAGTCTCCACTACAGTATTTCCAAATGTTTTTAATCTATATAGTGCAGTGGTTCCTAACGAAACATTATGCATACGAGACTAATGTAAATTTTCCTCCACCGTGGACCACTTACTTAATTCTACTCTTCCCCCATCCCTACAACTTATTTCTTTATAATTTATGATTTATCACAATTCACAGATACACCATAAAATACGTAAATGCTCTGGAAAAATGTATTTATTAAAAAAAATAATACAAGTTTAGGTTATCAGTATGTTTAATAATAGTGACTTATTAGTACGCTACAAAAACTTCTTTGATGGTTTCGTGGACCACCAGTTGGGAACCACTGGTAATGTGTATCAAACAATCACTGAAATACTGTGGATTATCTTGTTGTTGTATTATTTTTAATTTGACCAAAAAACAGAATGAATTTGTTTGTTTTATCGTTCATAATAATTCGCTGATCAAAGTTTTAAATAGAATGTCGTTATGAGTATTTATTGATTATTGTTGCCACTCTTTAATGTCAAGTAATTACATTATAATTAAGTCTTCGATAAACTTAATGGTTATTTATTTACTATAAAAACATATTTAAGTAACTAATATTTTTTTTTAGTATAATCATTAGGTATGTATTATTGATAGAACATACCTACTAAAACCATGTGGAATATTTGTTTTTTTTATTGGTAGGTACAAGTCACAATTGGTAAAATCTATAAATCGACATTTGTTGAGAAGAAAATAAATATTTTGACACAGCTTATTAAACTTAATCTTCATCAATTAATTTAAATCAGTTAATTATAATATGACTAAAACTCTTAGACCTTAGTTATTAATAATTCAAATATTTAAATTCCTAACTAAGCGCTAAAGTACTCCGATCTAATAAAAGAGCTATTGAGTACGAATAAAATAAAATCTATTCATGCTTGATGCAGTATATATAATAATTACCAATTACCATATTACATACATGGGTACTTACTACTTTTATTTTGATAGCCTTACATAATATGGTAATTTAACATCGTAAATAAGAATGATTATCATGTATTTAATGGTTTATCTAATAGTAATAGGTATATTTAATTTTATGGGATTACACGTGTATAAACGGGTATAAACGTGTATTAATTATGTTGTTAAAAATATTTTCAATTATCTCCCAAATTACAGTTAAACCCTAAGTTAAAGTAACAAAACATTATATAAATCTAATTTTTCTAAAACATTAAGAGTTATAAATCGTGGAAAAATTATTATCGGTAAATTATTTGATCACAATTATTATTCTGAACCACCTTGGACATTTACTTTGATTACTTGCAATAGTACTACAAATCATTGTATGATTGTTTTATGAGTACCTAAGTCGTTGATAGGTAAGTTAATATATAAGGTATTTTTTCCTATTCATGTTTTATACAGACGGTTTTCAGTTAACAGTTCATATCATTTTTTAAAAATGTATCTTACTAATTCTGAGACGAACACTTTAATTATTGATGTAGGTACAGGTAGTGTAGGTACTAAAAAATACAATTTAATTTCTAACTAATAAATATTTTTTCGCGAGAACATTCTTACTTAATAATAATAATAAACCAAAAATCTATCAATTAGCAATCCATTACATACCTACTGTAATAAAGAGTAATTTATTTCACTTTCCTAACCATGGCTAACATACATCAGCGTTTAGTTATGCTGCACAGTAAACACTAAACAGTTAGTAGAATGAGTTCTCCGTGTTAATAACATAAATGACTGATTTCGAATGATGAACTAAAAAATGTAAATAAGTGAGCTGCAGATGGCAACGATCGATATAAATGTTAATGCATACACGCATGAACATGATAGTATGGTTCATCACAATATATTCTATGTTTCTATAGTTTATACTTTATATTATATAGTGTTATAATAAAATAATTAATAATTTAGATGACCGATGTGTATGTTGTTAATTATTATTTAATTTTAAACATTATGAGAATCTTGCAATAAAAACATAAAATGTAGTTTATCTTTATTGTACATTTTTATCTTAAATCGCTAATACATCGATATTATAGTCTGTAATGCATTGTCGCATAGTAGTTATTGGTATTATATTGCTTGACTAAAATGTTTGATCATAAGATAAATAGGAATTATAATAATAATAGATTCAATTGGTAACCTTTTTATTTATTTAAAGTGTACTCCTACTGTGTTTGCATCACCAAATTTCGATGCAAAAGAAGATGCGATTGCTCTTAAAAAGGCTATGAAAGGCTTTGGATGTGACCAAAAAGTCATAATTGACGTAATCGCCAATCGAGGCGTTGTGCAACGAATTGAAATCGCAGAGGCCTTCAAGACGTTGTACGGAAAGGTACAAATATATTAAACATTACAATTTTACATTTTGGGTGTTATCGTTAGAGTATAGGTTGTAATTTTTTTAATATGATATTGTTTATGTTATCACGATGAAAACAATGTTTAGGATCTGAAAAAAGAGTTAAAAAACGAACTAAGTGGACACTTCGAGGACACCGTGTTGGCCATGATGACGCCACTTCCGGACTTGTACGCAAAGGAGTTGCATGACGCCATCTCCGGAATAGGCACCCACGAGGAAGTGCTCGTTGAGATATTGTGTACCTTGAGCAATTTTGGTGTACGGACAGTAGCAGAATGTTACGAAAAACGTAAGTAACTTGATTTTTTATAGCGGAAAGACTATAGGGAATTTACTAGGGAAATTAAGTACCTATCATAAACGTTGCAATTCTCAATTGGCTTCTGCATAACTATAATGACCTATACCTATGTACATTGGTAAAATGTATGAGTATTTTTGATTTTTAAACTGACATTGAAATTTGTAATTTTTATGAAATTTGAAAATCATACGCTTGCATTAAGGTATAATCATTAAATATTTAAATTTCTTATACCTATAAGGAAATAAATCAAAACAATTTTAATAAACTGCAACGTGCTTGAAATACGGCATACGCGATAACTTTTCTATTGTATTTACTATTTAGGCAGCGTTTTTATTTTGTATTCTACGTTTGATAATGCAATCAACATAAAGAAATAAATACACACCTAGTCAGTGTTAAGTTTTTTATTACGTCTCAAAAATGTACACCATAATGACATTGGGTTAGTCATAAATTATCTGCATACCTATATCTAAATAATACTCGTTTCTACACACGGGTCTTATACATTTTTTTTCTTAAATTTGTACTGGGTCTATGAAAAATATTGAGTAGTAATAGCATATTTTATTATTGCCATTGTTATCAATCAAAAATTTAATGTGTTTAGACGTTTTATTGGTTAAATATATTATGTTTAATGACTTTAATGAATTTAAACATTTTTTTCTTTCCAAGCACTCAAATGATGGTTAAAAAATCAATTGACATTTGACATTATTCATTTCATCGGAGTTTTGATGTTTATTATAGTTCTAATTTTAGATACGAAGCACGGCGTTCACAGTGTGTATTTTTTCTTTATACTGAAATTCTTAAGAAAACTATCTTTTATTGAGGGGGGGGAGATTAAAAATTACTTTTACTTTTCTTACAACCACGACACAGATGGTTCTTTAAAAGTATAATTATTTATTAATTGGTACCACATTTAAATTAATAAAATTACGTATTAAAATAATTATAAAGAATTGAAAAACATGATTGTTTTTGATACAACTGTGACCATTTGGAGGTAACCTAAGTACAACCTAAATTGTAATAATTTATCATTAATTTTAATTTATGAATGTGATCATACGGAACTCACCGAGTATTGAGCATTATAACGAATAGGGTGGACACTGGACTAACACTCGGTTTCTTACCAGTCGACCTATCTGATTGATTAATTATTTTTTGTGTTTGGCTTTTCTTCCTATGGTTCAAAGGTTATTATGTCTGTTATTTTTCTAGTTAAAATGTACACTATATTTAAACATTTTGTTGGTTACTGATTTTTGACCAAATAGTTGATCTATTACTATTAGCAAGTGTACCTATATCCTTGAAGAAGAATGATGATGGTACTATTCTTCTTCTCGGTGGGAGTCTAAATATAGCTAACTCGAGATACTTTCAAAAAGACTTTTTCATTGTTGAAAATATGTTCTCCAAACTTGACCTTCTTGTCAAACAGATTTAAAAATAATTATAATAATGAGAATTTTAAAGACCGCAGTTAATGTTTTGTGCCAATAGTTATAATATATTAATATATAATTATATTTAAGGCATTTAACGTCTGATTAACGATTTAATGAATAGTGTGGTATTGCATGGAATTGTTGGCATCATTATCTAGATAACTTTATTTATACTTATAAGTTATAAGTATAACTAACTGGTAATTTTGTGAAAAAACTGGCAAAATAATAATCATAACAAAAATCAATATTATATCATACATAAATTACGGTTTCAGCCTAAATATTATTCTGAAAACATAAATATTATAGTAAAATTTATAAAATTTAGACTTCAACTTATGTCTATTAATACATTATTTAATACAGCAACATTAATATAATGTACAGTTTATGGCATGCTGGTTTTTGAAATAGTGTATGAAAATAAAATTCTCTACCCAGTCTACCCTGATTTATATCTAAACGCTGTCACCTTATTTCGTATTGACTATTGACTGATTCGTTATTTCGAATATAGGTGTATTATACCTATTATGATATCTTTCGAATCACGTTTTTGATTGTTCTCTAGTTTTAACAATCGGTGTCAAATGTACACCGACCTTTGACGAGTATTTACATTTTACATGCCTAATAATATTATATGTGATTGACGACGACTTTCGTCGTTTTTGGACAACATAAAAATCATTTTTATCATATCATTCGCCGCCGTGGGTTTCTGCATACGAAAACGTAATTGATTTCATTAATGAAAATAAAAACTTAAAAAAACCATTCACGAAAACCAGTTGTCTGTTTATGCGTAATCATTTTTTAATTTTTTTAACGGATGCACATACGCAAGCTATATAATAGTACCTATGCACACTATACGTAGTAATAATAATTGATGAAAGTATTGCACGAACGAGCTTCGTGTCGCGTTTGTTATTTTAAAGCCACAATAAAATAACCGGACATCATTACGAATTTACGATATATTATGATTACGGCGTCCATTTGAAACTAGGAAAATTAACCGAAAGGCCGCTCCTCTCCCACGTGGAATGTGCCCATATATCTAATCCATGTATATGCATACGGCATGGCACGACTATAAATTGAAAGTTTTATCGACTGCAGTTATTTACTATAGACACCTAGTTGACAGTTGTATCTATCTATAAGGCATAGCGAGGTATTAGTACAATATACAATTATTTATTTTTCAACACTGTTTAAAATTTTAACTGCGGTGTGAGTGCTTATTATAATAATATACTTTTTTCGTACTTAAATTATACAATATGCATAAATTATATATTTATACTGCCAGTATAGCCGCATTCACAAAACTTAATATTGCTGTATATTATAGACTATAGTTAAAGCCTTATAGCATATATGCACCAGCTGGTGCATATCAGACATCAGTAGCCAGTAGGTCACAATACGTTAAAACGCGATTATATAAGAAATACCTACCTATGAATAATGATAATTTATTGTATACCTTTATTTATTTTAAACCAGATATGTTTTGTTACAAAAATAAAAATATTAGGTGCCTGTTGTATACCTACCTAAACCATCGATCGTATTGTACACATTCAACTCCCATACGATAGAATAACATAGAACCACATTATTCTCCGACGAGTATGATCGGTTAAATCCACACGTTCTTTGATCCTAATTTATACCACTCGATGGCTCAACTCAATAATATATAATACTCACTCATATGTGTATGTGTAGTGACTATTCAACACGTGTTTATCTTATACGGTTAAAATAGAACGAGGAATTTAAAACAGCTATTTCTACACCTTATCACCGTCATTCTTGTAATACCACTGGTATGTCGGACATTTTAGAATTGGAAAGTAACAAGATATCTCAGACTTGTGCAGTGTCTTATTTGCAGACTTATTTAAAAATAATCTCGGTAATTATTATCACACATGCACAATATGCATTGCTAGCGATTCGCGGACTGCTGCATTTTTTTTACTAATTAATAATGTTTATTTTAAAACTGCATATTATTATTAAAATATATACTTGAAGTATTACAATAATATTATTGAATTATATTTTTATAGTTTTTCGAATATCAGAATTCTACTAACGCTAAAATGTATTATGGTTTCAGTGTACGGACACAATCTCGAGAAGGATATTAAAGGTGACACATCGGGCCATTTCAAACGTCTTTGCGTATCCTTAAGTATGGTAAGATATATTAATAATACATATTTTATAATTCCCATTATTATTATGTAGGTACCTATATAATATATCATTGATATGATTATTGTACTAAGTATATTGCTTATAATTTTGAGAATAGATTAAATTATAATAGATATAATTTATTAATTAAAGATAGTAGGTAGGTATTTACAATATAATTATAAATCAACTTTACTTTGTTTTTTATTAAAATTTATAACTCTATGTTGGTCTGTCAAGGAACTTTGTATAATTTTTATAGTGTAATAGGTCGTATTAGTTGTATCTTGTACACCCACTTGTATATATACTGTACACGATATGATGTCACTAATAGATAATTACGAATAGAAAAAATTGAAATAAATAAATATATATCTAAAATAAACATATTAATTATAATATTTTATAAATACTTGTCTTATGCACAAGTAGTAAAGATATGCATAATATGACGCATATTATATGGATGCTTAAAGTGAGTCACACATTTATTAATTAATGCATTTTTTTCGTACAAACATTTTTATTGACATCGGGCAAACCAACGCTGTGAAATATCGTAGTCACCCATCGTTATATTATCGACTGATCGTGATTTAGTATGGTTAAATATATTATTTTAACTAGTAGCGACGTTAGTGTTTGGTTTGATCATGAGGTTGTGTATTATAATCCTATAATAATATACTCATATTAATACATTTTGGACATTCAAATTTCAGACTCGTATTGCTCATTATATGTAAACTACCTACCATCCAATTCTCATATTATTATGTAAAATATTATAGAAATGTAAAGTATTATCAATATTTGAATGTATATAAATAGGTACTGTTAATAAAAAAACAGGCAAATACATTTTACAAAATAGGTACATACAATTCGTGAAAGTGTATTAAAACATTATACATTTATACCGCTGTATACGCAATGGTTATACAGGATTTTATTTATGGAATAATTTTATAAGGCCTGAATTCAACTTCATAAATCATACAGTAAATTGTAATAGAATTTATAAAACACACGTTTTATCTGCGGTCATTGGCTAAGTAATAGTAAATAGTAGTATAGCATAGTCAATTAGTAACTAGTAAGCAACAAACTGCGTCCATATCAAAACTATATAAACCACAGCTAGTATTAATATATTATATATTTATATACCTATCAAAAAATGTGCAATGTACATATGGATCATGACAATACTTACTTAATATATTAAGGTAGCTCAGGTTCAGACCACTTGCGAAGTGATATTAAAATACATTCAAAATACTTACACAGAGTAAAGCAAAGCAATAAAATTCGATTTTGTTGTACGAATAAATTGATTTACAATGAAGAATTTAATTTTCCAGGGAAACCGAGATGAAACTCCTACTGTTGATGAGAACGCGGCTCGTTTAGATGCTGAGGCTTTGTACAACGCAGGAGAAAAAATAAAATGGGGAACGGACGAATCGGAATTCAACAGGATTTTGGTTACTAAAAGTTACCAGCATTTGAGGCGCGTATTTGTGGAGTATGAAAAATTGGCTTCCAAAGACTTGGAAGAATCAATCAAAAGCGAATTTTCTGGAGATATTTGCATGGGTCTATTGTCTCTAGGTGCGAATAATTTGCCACTTTATTTTTATGTACTCACTTCATAGAGATTTAAAAATATTATTTTTGATCGTATTCAAAATATTTATCTATTTTTCGTAATACCCTACAAATGTAGTAATGTATAACAAACGCAATACCTATATAAAGCCCATTAAAATAATCGTGCGCATTGCATTTTTAGTGAAGTGTGTGAAGAGTAAAGTCGACTTCTTCGCGGAGCGTTTACATAAGAGTATGGCCGGCTTGGGAACAGATGACAAAACACTGATAAGAATCATCGTGTCCAGATCGGAAATCGACCTAGGAGACATAAAACAAGTGTTCGAAAAGAAGTACGGTAAAAGTTTGGAGTCGTGGGTAACCGTAAGTTTTTTGTTCATAAGTTTTACTTAATGTTTAAATGTACGTAAATAAAGTCGTTTTTATTAATTTTTTCGATATTTTTCAGGGAGATACCTCTGGAGACTACAAGAAATTATTGTTAAAAATCATCGCTTAAACGGCTGTTTAATTTTAACATTTTTCTCGGGTGACTTCATTCATACATCAAATTATATTTTAAATCATTATATTATTGTTATTTTATTAAGTTTCATCAATTATTTTATATTATACCTACATTAAATTTAATTTTATAAGGAAAGTACGCATAGGAACTAAATTATATTGTGATTTTTTCTAAAAACTTAAACCTATTGGATTTTTATACTTATTGCTTAATTTTACTATACATAATAAACCTATTTATTGTTTAATATTGACTGACCAAGATATATTAACATGCTGGTGTTCAATAAAAATGTCAGTATAGGCAGTAGTACAGAATTTACAATTTAAATACTGTGCTTAAACTAACAATATCACTATTTTAAATTCTACTGCTTTTGTGTAAAATTATTTTGCATATTCATATTTTATTCTATATTCTTGGGACCAAGTTAGATAATGCTTAAATAAAATTAAACTATATACACTTAGTAAAAACAATAGTATCAGTTTTATTATTTTAATTTTTAATAGTTTATCAAATATTAAATAGATTTGATATTTTTGAAAAAAATTATTTAATGTTAAATGTTTATTATGTTGGTCGAAATATAGATTTCGTCGATGACAGGCAAACGGTCACTTTATACGGTCCATTGTTTAAAATGCATGCACTTTTTGTATTAAAATGTACATAAAGTAAACATTTAAATATAGCTTATAAGTATATACAACAGACTTTCTTAAACATTTTTATCCGAGGAACCCTTTTTTATGTGCATTTATATCGTAGAACCTCAACTTTTTTTTATCTTTTTACCTATTTTTATTTAACTTTCAACTACAGTTCGACAATTACTTTGTTTCAATAGTTTTAATGCGTCATTTTATGCAATAGTAAAAATACTTGTAATAATGAGTTAAAATTTAAAATGTAACGCAAAACAGTTTTAGAAACGATGGTATACCTAATATCGGAAGATATAATATTATGAAGTTTGATAATGGTTAAACATTATTTTATTAATTTTTTATTAAATAGTTAATTCAAATGTTATAAATCGTATATAAAACGAATCAAAATAATCAGTTTTTTAAATTTACATGTAAGGTAAGAACCAAACATTACTTAGGTATTATAGTTTATTTATAAATTATAATTGTAATACCAAATTAGATGCAATACCAATAACAGTATTGAAATTTAATAACATTTTCAATATATTTGGTCATGACTTCACACATCACATTTATATTATAACAGTATTTATATATATTGTATATATAGTATAAAGTGTCCGCGTTCAAAACTTAAACGTTCGACAGTACAAATAATATAAAAAGTTACTTAAAGTATAATCGACAATACGAAAAAAAAACAATCATTTTTTAATGTAAACAAACAGAATAATTGTATTACAAATTGTGACAAATAAATTTATAGTAAAATTATAACTCGTAAAAAAATTACAAAATGTTTATCATAATTAGATAATGCATGATGCTACAGCTTGAACCATATTATATTAAACCTATTGGCCCTTGGCCGAAATTGCCGATTAAACTTGGTGACTGGTGAGGTGGGGTCCTCGACCATGCTGGTACAGCTTGGTGTCATATGTAAGATATTTTATACATTAGATATTTTAATACATACATTGCAATATTATTGTATGTCAGTAATAAGCTTATAAACTTAATTTAGCTCCTCAAACAAGAATCTACTTGGTAGGGTGGCGCCGCGGCCATGCCGTCGTCCGTCGGACAGCTGGTGGCCACAGAGAGACACAGGTCACTTGTCAACGTTGTACGGCCAGTCAGGTGTCACCGGTTTCCGCCAAAAATGACCTTTCCATTTTCTGCCATTACCTCTTTTCGCCAAATTAGGAAAACCGTCATTCATTTTTCCGCCAGTCAAAAATTATAGAATTATTATAAGTTTGGTAACCCTTACGTACAGATTTAATTTAATTAGATTTAATTAAAACTCAAAAGTTATTTAAAAAGTTAAAAGTTATTATTTATTTAACGATAGATAACTAAATGAATTAATTTTAACATAAAACACATAATATTATATAACTTTTGAATTATTTGATTTGTATAAATTCTTTGTAAAGAGATTAAGTAAATTATTCAGTAGTGTTCACAATTATTAAATCCTTACGTAAGGGTTCATATAAATTTTAAAATTCTATAATTTTCGACTGGCGGAAAACAGAAAGACCATTTTTTGCTGAAACCGCCGGACAACATGATCGACGACGCTACCCCACGAAGTTGGTTTCTCTTTCAGGAGCTAATTTGAGATTATAAGCATATTAATTATAATATAAAAATGTATATAATAAAATATCTAATGTAGCGGTATAACCAATCTAATATTTAATATCTGGCGCCAAGCTGAAGCATGCATTATCTAATGATGAAATAAATATAAACTAATCTGTTAACATTCCGGTTTTCGGGAATGTAGTTATGCGCTTCGGCGACAACACCCGAGGCGCTGCAGAACCTCCCGCTTGACTCCCTTCCAAGCGGCGGAAAATAGTGATCGAGGGGCTTGAGTCTTAAGGGTTGTCTCCTCCGGGTCAGACCGTCCCTGCAGATCCCCCGGAATTATTCCTTATTTTTGGTCCCTTGGCTGAATCCGCCTTCACTTCTTCAAGCACCGCAGGGGCATCGCCGCCCGGCCGTCTGGGACGTCCTGGATGATCGGCGGTAAAGCGGTTTGCTCTTTCTCGACACCACCGGACGGCAACGGTTCGATGTCATCGTCATTGTCCTTCTCACTTCCATAGAAATAATTATCATCAGCTGTGATGTCTTCCATGACTTTATTTATCGCGTTAAATTCGATTTCAACGATTTTCATCATTTGATGATATTATTTTGGTTACGTAGTAATTTATTTTACTATGAAGCATTATTAGTACGGTGTACAGAAAGTTAAATTACTTTCGGTCGAAACATTTTATTTATCGACCTTACGCTTATATATAAATACAATAATTAAACCATATCGGTTACAACTTGATCAACTTGATATTGTAATATCATCATTAGAAATGTAGAAAGACAAATTGTAAACAAACTATCATTGGTGTTATATGATACGTACATTTGGCAATTGGCTATAAAATTATTGAAGTGAATAAAATGCAGATGATTTCTGAAGTAAAGATAGTTGCCACTTACTGTTAAGCACAGCTACCATAAAACATTGTAATCGCAATACGGAATTCTTGATAGATACTGCTGTCATTGTAAATTATATAGTATACCTATATATTTTGAAAGAGATATTGAAGCGAGATGGCTATTAAATTTCATCGAAATATCAAATATCTGAGTCACTTGTAAGTTGTAACTTTAGAAATCCATACAAATAGTAATATACATTAGTTTTCTTCCTACTGTCCTTACTAACCTTATAATATTTTCCATGCACTGGCATTTAAATTAAGGAATTCGTGTTCCCATCCACGTGATTCATGTTTTGCTAACATAACTAGGTACTAATATGTAGTACTAACCACTATTAGTAGACATCTCTGAGGACGATTTGAAAATTCCACAAAGTAGTTTATGAGTAGGTTTATAAGCTACAAACAAATATTCAACTCTCATAGGTACTTGTTTCAAGATATAATTTGATGAATTTGGCGAGGGACAATTTGATGCGCGCGTTTACTTCATCTGCCCGACTGCCCGAGTAACCGATCGTACGCATTAATAAACCAAAAGAATACTTAATTCAACTAATTATTTCTTCTATTACTAAGAGTATTATAATCTGTAAGATGTAACCTAGCTGTCAATTGGCATTTTCAGCAGATAAAAAATTTCTATTTTCATTGAACATTTAAAAATCCTTGTGTAAGGACCTCTTCCGGGAAACTTTTCCAATTTTTCTTTTCACAAAAACCATATTCGCACAATTACGAACATATATAAAAAAAAGGAGCCAAATCAGTCCAACCGTTTTAAAGTGATTACCTACTCGAAAACAGGATTTAATTTTAACATTTTGTATAAATATTTTATTACACGTAACCAATGGTATTCTGTAATCAATGACAACCAAAAAAAAAAAAGTATATTATGAATTATTTCTACCATCTAATCATAATAGTAATATAACAGTAATATATTATACGTGTAACCAACGACAACCCTATAAATAAACAAAAAAAATATTCCTCTTTCGTGAGTTGAAAACTATAGATATTATGACGTGTGAGTTACTGTCAGCTTTCCAACTACCTATAGAGGTTGAAAAATAAACTATAAACACTCTCCAAGTCTCAATAGGAATCCATTGATATCACTTTTACTTCAATCGGTCAAGTCGTTCAAAAGTTACACGAACAGTAACAGAATACATACTCAAGAATTATATAACCAACCATTTATTCAATGCAATGATTTCTATTCATAAATATGGCTATAGAGTTCAGTGGTTCATTGCAATCGATGAAATCAATGTATTTATAATCGATCACCAAACAACAGGGGCACTGCGTAGGCAACCTGTCTCGCACAACGCCGTAAAAATACGGTCCGGTTTTGGCTAGGACTAGAGATTATAATAATTATTATGTATTGTCGTTTTTGTTTTTTGTTTTTTGCAACTTCTGATTACCGCTTTTGTTTATAATGTCCACAAATCACGTCGTGTTGAAGCAAAATTGTGGTTATTTAATTCGACATGTTTCTACGAATTCTACATGTTCTGAATAAAATTCACATTGACGCATAATTCTACTATAAACACGTAAAATGCATGTTTTGTGGTATATTTTAGCTGCAGTGGTGATTGACGAGAGAAAAAAGTAGAATATTATCAATCCAAAAAATACCAAAGTTATTTACTATGTTTTATCTTAATTGTCATAAATTCGTACGACTGTAACAGTATAGATTAAATTTAATATTTTAGATTATTCTGCAACTACCTCAGTTAAATTATTATGTGTTTGGACATAGTCGTCGTCACGCATTGCGTTGCGTGTTATTTGTGAATCGAATTAATTTTGACTTACGGCATTAAAAATGACAAAAATACAAAGTATCAATGTAAAACTTTGACAACATGTCGAAATATTTTCCAATACAGTTTGATGATGGAAAAACACTATTTTTATATAATTTGTGACCAAGCACTCATACCAAAGTATTTGCATTTTCAGTTGAATAGTTTAGCATATTTCACCATATATTATTACATATATATCAATTCTATCCCTATAGTTATGAGTTTATGACTTATGATTTATGTCGTTGTAATATGTATCTACTTCAAATAGACCTTATATGATCTACCTACCATTACTATTCATTGTTGTTCACAGCTGCAGTGTAACTTGTAAGAATTATACACACAATACAGAGTGTTCCGTGAGGATTTACCCATTGCGATATCTCCCGAGATAATAAATATAACATTAATCTGTTTTATTTATTATTAGAAAATAAAGATACTTCTGTGCGAATTTTACGATCGAGTGACTGACTATGTAATTTATGTATGACATTTTTTACTTTTGACCTCCCCAAAGTACTAAACAGATTTACTTTTCTACTAATAAAGATGCTGTTGAAGAAAATTTTACATTTGTACTGCCCCAAAAGGTGACGTCAGACCCAAAATCAAAAAAAGGGGGAGGGAGACACGAGTGCCTTAGGCGAATGTATTTTAAGAAGCTAAAAAAAATTAGAGAAAATAGTCTATAATATCCAGATTTTTAAACCAAAAAAACTATTCCCAATAGTTACTTCATTAAAGAATGATTACCTACTTAGAGATATTTATTGTTATTCACCAGGTTTTAAAGCTTATAAAAATATGTATACAAAAAAATCAATTAATTAAAATTAGTAAACGTATTTTGTCAAAATTTGAAAGTCAGACGCTCATAAAAAAATATTGTGTATTTACGTTCAACTTTTATTTAATTTAAACTAACAACAACTTACGAAAAACCTTTTATTACATTTTCAAGATTTCTGACAGAGCAAAATTGTTTGTATCGACATTTATTTGAAAAAACCTAATAATAATCGAAAATGCCATATGCTTATAAATAGCTCAACATCATAAGTGAAATATTTTGAAAATTGTATGGTGTATATAGTTAAAATGCTATTATAAACATTAAAACATTTTAATGAAATTCTCATGTATCTACGGTCATTTGTTTTAGAGATACACCATCAATCAAAATTTTGAAAACAAAGATTTTGTAGAAAACCGATTTTGATTAAAAATTCCCGGTTTTTAAAAAAAATTTTTTTGTTTTTCACTGCGCTTTTGAAAACTACTTGGAATTTAAAATTTTTACGTCTAATTATGCACCAGCTAGTTTCACTTTCCCACCGGAAAAGATACTGAAGTTGAAAGTCGAAGCATTATTTCGACTACTTATCGCGTACAGAGACGCAAATAAAAAACGTAAAAAACACACACACTATTGTCAAATCAATACATTCATCGCTCAGCTCAGAATCTAAAAATCAGTTTAGGCTTTCGCACTTTCGCAGGCCGTAATCGAGGATAAACACTGAGCAACAAAAATATTGATGCGTTGAGGTAACTTGTTTATCTTAAATCGTGGAATATACCTGCAAACTATTGTTTACTGTTTAGAATGAACCAGTGGACATAACAATGAACTAAGATTGAAAATTTAATACAGTTAATGCTTTTTAGTGATGTAGTGACGAGTGACGACGATAGGAGTGCCGTCGTATCCATGTGAAGTTGAATATCAATGGCCATGACTAGCTACATAAACAAGGTGGATATATATATATGTATACATACATCCATCTTGCACATAAATCAAAAATATTGTGATAACGTTATGTTGATAAAAATATTTAATAATATGAATATTATGATTATTTTATATGTGTTCGGTTAACTGTAGTCTGTAGTGAGTTTAGTTGTAATTTTTTCATCAGTTACATCTTAACATTTTGTAATTATTATTAATCTCGTCTGGAAATGTATGTAGTTTAAAAGAAATTAAACCGTGTAGTGTAGGTTTTAAAATGGAAGTTTACACAAAAGCCCCGACCGATTACAGAATTGAAAATGTCAACATTTCATCAAGGTAATAACGTACCTAATAAGTAATAATTTGAGTGATTTTAAATTCTGATTTTTATCTGTAAACATGTAAACTACACTGATACTAACTCTGTAAAATAAACGTAAACTATGAAAATATTATTTATAAATTCTAAGTTACAACTAAATTTTATTATAATGGCACACATTTTCTTTCCCAATTTAATGCAGAAATTAATTACACAATGTGTTGAATGTCACAGGTCAGATAAAGACTATCATTTGTATTGCTTAAAGCCTCGTGACATGACGTTTTATACCTAATCATAATTGGCAAATTTAGGTTTAATTTATTTATTTTTTATTATTGCTTACCTATATGTATTTATATGTACTTATATATAACTTTGCATACAAATTTGTATTGGATTTTTTTATAAAATTGTGTTTTTACATGTTATAAATTCAACCCTAAAATCAAGCCTAAAACGCCAACACCAAACATTGGTGAAATATACATGTGCTCAATAATTAATTTAAAATATTAAATTAATATCTTTTTATAATAAACGGGTTCAGATTCAAAACTATTCACATATTTTTAATAAGTTATTCCCCAGATGAGGTCTTGCAATACCCATATCTCAAATATGATAAATAATATAATCACAAATGTAAATATATATCAAATTTGAGTTAAGCACAACCAATCTTGTGTTGTTAGCTTTCTTACCTTAATATTATTAGTAAGTTTAGGTATTATGACCTACTTTCCAACTTAAAGGTAACAATATTTTGTGTTGAAACAACTAAAAATTGAAATATTTTACAAAATTAATGTACAAATAATGATAGTGTTCTAAACTTAAAGTGTAATAATATGTCAACTCACTCTTATAATGAATATAACCACACAAAATTATTTAGTTGTAAGAAGGATAGCAACACAATTGCGATTTTGACGGACTCTCAAAGTCTTAATCTTTTAAGGCAGGGGTGACTAAGTATGGTCCACAATTATTTATTAACTGGCCTGCCAAAGTATTAAAATTAAATCAAAATAGAAAAAACATTTCTAAAAACGTAACTTACAGTTATTGTTAAATTATTAAATTTAAATGCCTTACTGTTTAAAAAATGATCTGTGTCCCTATATTAAAATATGCCCACAATAAAATAATATTCAGTTAATGGAAAAAGTTTAAATTCTTGGCGTTCAATGAAAAAGGTTAATCACCACTGTTTTAAGGCATCGAGAGTACTCTTAGTTTCCAATTTTTTTAAAACAATATTTTCAAATAGTAAATCACCTATATTTTTAGAAAAGATGGTTTTAAATTAAAATTTTTTTTTAGAATTCCTTGCTTTAATTGGGTTCTAGACTTAACCATACTTATCTACCGTGGCTATCTTATCAAAGAATTAAAATGTACAATTAGCACTTAAAATTCATAAAATGTTAAATTTTATTTTATCAACAACCTTTAGAATAATATTTCACCAAATAGGTACATTAAGTAAGTAAATTCAATGTCACGAGTTGTCTGTAAACCTATAGTATAAAGACCATACTATAAAGTATGGTAATACTCAGACAGTCAATATGACAGGTTACCGTGAATATTATGATCTCAACTCATTATTTATATGTATTTAGAATCAAAGGGAAAAATTGAGTCATTTCATGGCTGCATGCTTTTATAATGATTAATGACTCATGTATAAATTATAATCTCTAATCTGTAATTGAATAATAATAACTGTAATAATTACAAATATTACTCTTGAGTCTTGATCACGGTGAGACATAAATTATAAACTATTTAGATATAAGAAACAACGGCTGGTGTGTATTATCCGCCATAGTGTCATATTGTAACTTTATATAATTTACACGATGTAATATCTTTCATTGATGATTTATTTAATTGCTGTAAAATCTATTGGTTTCTTTTTATTTATATCAACAAATTAACATCACAATGGGCTTCAACATATTACATAAATTGTGTGACTTTATTATTAATTCACTGCATGGTTCATACTTAATGATTTAAAGTGATGATTATATTTCACGGTAGTCTATGATAGACCTCATTCATTAAACTGTAACTTAAATCATGTAATATTTCCAGTTCTGGATAAAATAAAATAATTTTTTTTCTTCTTACAATCTCACATATTAATCAAATATATATTAAATCATAAGATAAAAAAACATATTAAAAAATATTATAAATAAATAATCTTTGCAAGTAAAATTTTGTATTATACTTACAGTAATTGTTACAAGCTGTTTACGACGTTTTCGTGCACAGCACATTGCCGACATTTACAATATAAATAAATAGTTTACCTTAAATTAAGTTATAAAAAAAAAAATTTTAAACATTTTTTGCAAAGTTTATTTCATTTTATTAATTAGCTTATTTGTTATAGTTTTTACATTTATCAATTATAATTTTTTTATAGAAGTATCTAACATTTATCACTTATTAAAAATAATTTACAAAGATGGATACCTATATATTATGAATCTCAATTTATGATCAATATTTGTATTTATTATACATTTCTTTGTACAGTTAACTTAGTGATTTTTTACATTCATATTTTTATTAACAAAAATGTGATATTGAAAATTTGACAGTAAATCATCTTACACAATGAAAGCTGTATTTACTGAGTTTTAAACAGTTTAACTGTTATTACTTACATGTTTTTTAATGCTATGTGTAATAATTTTATAATTAATTTCAGTGAAGGACCAAAAATAGAGAAACACATAATTATTGATTTGTTAAATGAAAATAACACTAGTAAAAGTGTCAGAATGTCGGTGTTGCAACTCAACAATTTAAGACACAATGTTGCTAATTTATTGAAGCATACCAATCGCCTTAAGACAAAACTTCAACAAAATTAACTTTTAAAATAAATTAAATGTAAAAAAAAAAAAATTAATAACAACAATAAAAATAATAGTTAACAATGTGGTATATGTATAAAATATAAGGCTGGAATGTTTGTTTTATACTTATATAGTATGCAATTATTGTAATTATTATTCTAATGTAAATTTAGTTTTTATACAGTTTTTAAATATACTCAGTGCACACATACAAATTATTTTTCTATATAATATATTAAGTCTAACTGTTGTGGAAATAACATTTGGCCTATTAGTTATTGACTAAACACAACACTTTGTTTCCAAGTAAGTAGTTATACACCAGAGACCTATTGATATCTAAAAGTAACGAGAACAAATTGAATACTGTGACAATGACTGAACAACTGATGAGATTTATCGCATAGTTTTCAATTAAAATACATAGTACAGTTTTACTATAATTTTAAGCTTATAATTACCTACACATAAAATAGGCCCTATTTATAATTTTCTTTCTCCATAGACTTTTCGATTTCGAGCGCCAATTTATAGCCCAGCTCAGGCCTCCTGTCGCGCCCTTCAACCATTGTTTTTACCTAGAAGGGTAAAAAAAAATTTCCACTATTATTACGCTCAATTGCCAAAATTCTATTTATTATTCTACAGTCGAATCTCGAAATCTTGAATCGTATCACTGTCCAGGTGAAATTCCTTAACATTGAAATACCCAATGTTATTATAGGTATGCAAAGCATAAAACCCAAAAATAAATAAGCCGAACTTGTTTTTACCCTCCTCAAAATTGTTGTTATCGACACTCAACTGTACTCTCTACATTAGGTATAACAATTAGTAGGGTGATCGGAATCGGCAATATGCTGTCACCATCGTCCTTTAAAATTACACTCTCGTGACTTGGAAATATAGTCTTTTGCTCCATTTTGCAACCAGTGGCGTGGTGAGTGATATATTAACTGCGGGTAAATACATATTTTTCGACCCCCCACATCATTTTCAAGTATTAACAATATAGAACTATAGAGTATAGAGTAATGGGGGGATGGTTAGGGGGTTTTAACTCGGACCGAAAATTGTTAAACAATAACAAAGTGTTCATTTATAAATCATTTTCAGATAAAATTTGTCAACATTTTTTTAAAATCCCGCCCAAAAAAAAAATTCCGGATGCGCCACTGCCAGAAGTATATACATATAATCAGCGTCTATTTATACGTCCAGCCCTGCCTCCCCCCAAAAATGTTTAAAAGTTGAACAAGAGTTTTTATAGGTTTTGAATGCAAAAATGGAAAGTGTCTATAGTATCTAGGTTTGTAACAAAAAAAAGCTGGATCCCCGACATTTTTTTCAGTTACGGCCTTGGCTACTATTTACAAATATGTATTTTTACGTTTATTTCGAAAGTACCTAGTGATATCGTCGTGATTTTCCGAGAAACACCACTCACAATATATAGACTGGTATATTATTTTCAACCAAATTTATATTAGCTCAAAAATCGGGATACAAATTGTTACTGCCGATCTAAATGTTCAATCATCAAATCATTTTACATTCTTGCCCCTCTAATATGTATTACATAATATAATGTTTACATTTTACAGAGGTATTAGCTGTAAACTTAAAAGGTACACTTATTAATACTGTTTGTTAAATTTAACTTACTTCAATTATCAAATCATTGTAACAAAAGAAAATTAAGTCAAAATCAATCATGTTTGGAGGCCAAATACCCCCCCCCCCTGAACTCACCTTCACAGACAATGATATACATATATAGGTGTATATAATGAATAGGTACCGAAAACTCGCCACGATGTCTACCTACTATTTAGTGGATATCGACTTTTCCAAACGAAAATATCGTAATGTCATACAGTTGAAATCGGGAGCCCCCTTTTCGGTCAAAATGTACCGTTCCTTCTTCGGGCAATAGTTTTTTTATCAACATTATTACCTACAACTAGGTGAAAAATAATAAAACAAAACAATTGGCAATAAACTGTTATAACATAATATTACATTAATCAAATACAAATTAATATAGTCTTAAGGTCCCCACTCCCCACACACTGCAGCGGTAGCGGTAAAATGAGTCCAGACACAATTTACCGCCACCGCGGCGGCACCGCCAAGACAGAAGAATTTTACCGCTACCGCTGCAGTGTGTGGGGACCTTTATAATACATATTATATAATAATAATTATGATATTAAAATAATCATTCACGAGTACGTCGAAAGTTAAGATTTCCTAATACAATAATTGAATAAAATTTATTTTAAACTTATAAAACCTATATAATAATAATTATGATAAAAAAATAAGTACCTAATTGATTTTTCATAATGCCTTTAATATAATATATTGTTATATAACATATTGGCATTACTCTATAGTCTATACAATAATATCATACTATACTCTATTGCCTATACTGTCCATATAGGACTCATCACTTTACTAATTGGGCCGTGTTTTACATTTTATTATATCAAAAAAATAACAAGGAATAATACTGGTTTGTCTTTATTTACAAAAAACTAACTATGAACGAAATTATAATACTTACATTGAAGACTGAAGACTATAAAAATAGTAAGATTGCCAATAGTTTTATTTTATTATTTTTTCATACAGTTGTTGCCTGTTGGTAATAATTTTAATAAAAAGATTACCAACCGAAAAGGAAGGGTACATTTTGGCCGAAAACGGTGACGCCTTTAAAATCTGTTCCTAAAATCTTTAGTGCGAGTAACTGTATATACTATTAGGATATAAGATCCTTGGAAATACGACCTGTGTAGGTACAGTGTACTGTATATTATTATGGATTGTCAGCATATAGATCATCGATATCATTTAATTTCTTTAATTATCATTTGTCTTTTTGCTTGTATTTTTATAGACCATTAAAATTAAAATTCACCTCGTTTGACTGAACAATGACACCGTGATTTTTGACAACATTGTTTTTGGTTTTTTCAATGTCGTTCAAATCGACGCCGCGGCAACAGTCATCGATTAATATCGTCCGGTATCCAATCGACAACGCATCCGCTACAGTCGCACCTGAAATAAAAAAGAATTCCGGAAATGTATAACTACCGTAATAACGACACAGCTATACAACAATAAAAAATCGTCATGCGTTATGAAACTTCGACAATGGTTAATAACGATTATCGTATTTACAAATTACAATGATGATCAGTGGCGAAACGGACGTGGACGTATCTTACCATTAATCACTAAAAAAACATTTTATTTTTTAGGCAAGTGCTATTTGTTGTAAAATATACATACGGGGTCAGATACGTTATTTGGGAGGGCAATATGTGATGCCAGAACAACTCTGGTTTTGGCCTGGTGCAAGATTTTAAATGTACATCGTACTAAGATACTCTGTACATTTTGTTGTCACATACAAATTAAAATCATTACTAGGCATTACTAAACTATTAAGATTCGAGCTGATCGATTCATTAAATCGCATCAGTTAAATAGGGCGTTGTATTAGGATTTTTGATTCGTTAGGTTTAGGGGTAAATGACAAATATACATGATGCGTGTTCGCGATGGTGATGTGGAGTACAAAAAATCAGTAAATTTAGCCATCAATTTTACAAATTTCAAAATAATTCGAAATGCAACAACCTATACAAAATAATATACAATAACTTAAATATGTCAATAGTTAGTCGACCTTATGAAATATCAAATAATACAAATATCCATGTCATCATATACACATGTTTAGGAATATTTTCAGATCTGGTCAGAAGTATTTTTCAGGAAGTTCCTTATATAAAATAATTGAATTTCCATTAAATAAAAAATTTTAAAAAATCACTTAAAAGTTAGGTATTTAAATACGCAAATCCGCATGGCCATATTGACACAGTGGCTGGACACGCCCAGTGCTTGATTTTGGGGGGGGGGGAGTCCCCTTTCTTTTAACATTTCTTTTTAGCGTACCCCTTTTATTTATTTGAAACTGAACGCTGGGAACGCAACATTTACTATAATACATTTGTAAATCGTTAGTTTTTCTGATGCAAAATATACCTATGTATATAGCCATAATATTTGTACATTTGAATCGACTATAAATATAATGATTAATAAACAAGTGTTTTTTTTTTAAAAATATTTTTGTGTAATAAATTTAATGATTTTTGGGATTATGGGTAGTTGATGGGGAGTGTGGAGGGTAGAGCCCCCCACGGTAATGTGACAGTTAATTTTGTATGGAACGCTCGTTTATCAAACATCCGCTGAGTCCCTTCTAGTTTTTTTCCAAATCAAGCACTAGACACGCCCATATAATATGTATACCTACCTATGATGATTATAATATGTATTAATTAAATTAATCCCTTATGTCCATACATATGGATAATAAATATATTTTTATCATGAACATCGCTTTTATACGTTCGTTTCGCCACCGACAATAGCACATATGAACTTCTTTAAATTGATCATACATATAGCCATAATATAAACAATATATTGTTAATTACCGACACAAACGTCGTACGCCAACCCGCACACGTAAATGTCGGTGGCGTTCAACTGAGCCAACTGCGTGCCTAATGTGGTCTGAGTCAATTTTTTGTTGTCCCAAAACACTGAGTACGAATCTACGTCCGATATCGTTCCTTTGTATATTTTCACTGCATTATCCACCACCTATATTAATGTAAAACGGTTTTACGCACACTGTAAGCCTCTCAGATCATTAAATTATACATTATATATATATTTTATATATACATTAAGACTTCCATATTACAAAGCCCACAGGCAAAAACTATTCTATAGACAAAATGCATTTAATAGAATTATATACATTTAGTTTTAATTTTGTTATGTTTGAAAAATACATAATTCGATGAATAAAAAATATCGTTATATGGAAGTTTCACTGTGCCTATATAACGGATTACCTTCAAGTCTTTATAGAGCTGAGCACCCCACGAGTCTTGGACACAGTGCTTTGGCCACAAACGTTGTTTTATCTTCGGAGATCCCTCGAATACCACGGTGTCGTATAATTGTGCGTTGTCAGCTTTGATCTATGAACAAACACGAGTGTTATGCAATTATTACACCAGTATTTGGTATTTTCTTTATTACCTGAGACGACGAGTCTAATGGACGCAAAGACAAGTTTTCGATGAACGATATGTGATCGATCGGATGCCAGTCGAATGAATAAAATACAGAGTCGAAATTCACAGTGTCCAACAGATGGTTGATGGGCTCTATAACCTGAATAAAAATTGCAATGAATCATTTACAAAAACAAAGTGCAACGAGAAAGTTATTATTATTCTATAGTATATAATATTTTATACCTCCAATCCGTTCTGTTGCGCAGAGCAGTTGCTGATGTTCAACGAACCGGATATGAAATCGTTTTGGACGTCGATAATGAGGAATATGTTGACGGGTCTTATAATCTGCAATATAAATTAAGTTGCCATCTATACCAAAGTCATATTTTGTTGTGTGAGAATGGGCCCTATGAGGTTATTGATTTCAGTGACATACGAAGGGAGAGAGAGAGCTAAAAGGCAGAAGGCCTCCACCATTGATTATGCATTATTAATCATTATTGTTATTTTATGTTTTATGTATATTTATTAAGTTTCAACTGTAGTAAACTAGTGAGCATATGAATGTATAATATATATACGAGTAGGTACCTCGCCTAAACATCTGAAATCATTACACTGGACTAAATAATAATACAATTTTATCTTATTTTATTGCCTATTATTTTAGGCAATTCCGCAATCTTAATGCATAGTTATAAACTCGTACTTACAGTCTTAATCCACTTGTTCCAACACATAGTGAATTCTTGTCGATCAATCAAACCGTCCTAAAATCAAAGAGTACAAAATTATTTAATAATTGTTTACCAAATCCCTTAATCCACCTTACATACCTTTTTCGTATCGAATATGTTAAATATGTGTTTAAGGGTGTGGACATCAAGGCTGTACACAATTCCGCGGTCGTTGCGGAAGAGCCCTTTGCAGATGCCATCAAACTCTTCAATGTTTAAAAAACCATCGCTGCAAACAAAATAAAGGTTATAAATGGTGTACACCTGAAAATAGTCCTCATTCAGAATTTCCGACCATGGTCTTAGTCTAATATTAATAGTATGTCGCACCCGCTTGTGTAAAATTATAATAGAATTTTAAAATGCTCATTGCTTGAAAATTAAAATATCAACAAAAACGCCTACTAAGTACTCTGAGTTATTACCTTTTAATTTGATGGTATGGAAATGCACTCTAATATTTAAAAAAAACCAGAGTAAATAGATTCTTCTAAACATGTAAATTTGCTACATTATGCGTTAGTTAGGTGGAGACAACAGTTATTTAATTAAAATTAATATCCCATGCAATGTACTATATTTGTATAGACTACAGATTTTAGGTGTCCACAGTCCACACGACTAGGTATATGCATACGATGCCAATTAATGTACATAATTATAGGCATAGGACTATTAGGACTTCAATCTTAGGACCTAATCGCATTTACTATAAATGTGTTTAAAATTAACTTAATTATAAATTAATTTTTAATATTATATTGATTCAACTAAATAAATTATTATATGTGTCCAATTCAGTTATATTTTTATTTTTCATTATTTTGATAATATGGTAAAATCAGTTTATAATTAATGACTTCCTTTACACGCCTGTGTAATCTCTAGATGTAAAATTCAAAGTTCACAATTACACACATACGATATAGGTATAACGTACATGATACATATAGCCCGATAAGTTTTGATTTCTGTGCTTTTCTTGAATGTTTTTTCAGGGTTTTAGGGCCAAAATTTAAGAATAAGTAATTAAGTGTCTCTCAGTGACCCCAGTGACGAAATAGAGCCGTAGATGGTAAAATCATTATAGGTATAAAAAAAATAAACGGTGCTCACTACTCCGCGGTACCTATATACGAAGCGCGGTGCCTATAGATGTAGACTACAAATTGTCTACAATGTAAGTATTCAAAACATTATATATATACTAAATAATTATTCATTCGGGTTTTTTGACGTCACGCGTCGATATATATATATTATGTACAACTAATTTGACCTAATTCATTACACGAACTTAAACGTTCAATACTTAAAAAGTCAAAATCTCAAAAATTTAAAACGGAACAATCATTTTGTATTAATCACGAATAACGCAGAACAAACTTATTATATAAGTTATAATATAAAATATTATACTTGCTAGTTGCCACTGATATAGTTTAGTTTCAAAAATAATAAAAAATATACCTCATCAATTAATGTTTTCGTCGTATAATTTCAAACAACTATTGTTCACGGATATTAAGATAATGTATCATAATACATCTGTATTTCTAAATTAAAAAAACTGTTTACTTTAGCATTATTTATTTTTTTTTTTTTTAATCTTTATTTACTTTAAAAAAAAAATTAATGTTATATTTTTATAGATATATTCTAGTAGTAAAAATTGTAATATCATTGAAATATTTTTCAAATTGTTCATACGATCTAATAATACATATATCAAGATAGTGTCACTATAATTTATCAATTAAAATAGGTATTTAGTTTAAGACTGGAACACACACTAAACAATTTGTAGCTTTAACGTTATGAATTTTTAATCAAATTATTCATACATCATTATTATTTATATACATTAAATATACTGTATATAGTCAGTATAAAATATATATTGACTTATACAGAATTTACCTATGGCCCCTTGGCAAAATTAAAGAGGTCGAGAGCAAGGCCCAAATTTAAATGTAAATTTCAAAACGTAAAGCAATCTAATTTGAATTAAAATTATTATTTTCTAAAACCACATTTTGGGTAATTTTTCAATTTTACAATTTATTTCAAGAAAATGTCTAAAATATCAAAACAACAATAGAGAAATTTGGAAACAAGCGTGGTTCTAACAAAATCTAGAGAATGTTTTGGGTAAACATAAAAGCTTTGTTCAGATTATTTTTAAATTTAAATTCACAAACACTGATTTAGGCATGGATGATTTCCTTAATTTAAGTCCAATACTTTAATAGTCCACTAAATTATATTCAAATGACCACATAGTAGGTATTAAAATTTCAAACATTTTGTATTATCTTTTTTATAAACTAAATAACGTTTACTCACTCACACGATTTGAAATTTGTAAAAAATGTGTTGTACCAAATATAGATACATCATATATTGTACATTATTTCAAAAACATTACTTTTTATGTCTTTTATGTAGTGATATAGTTATAATCCTTTATTTTTAAAAGAACCGTTGAATTGTTAGGGTTTTATTTATTTACCACCCCTAAAGTAACTCGTGAAGCATTGATTAACCTCACCTATATTATTATACTAATATACTATAAATAGTATTTATATTAAAGCTGTTGCCAAGAAATTATAGGTACAATGTGGAATCAATACACCTCAAGGTTCAATAGTTTTTAGAGTATCGAAATACTGTGAACGCTTTAAATACTTTGCATGTATTATGTAAATATTATAATATAAATATACAGATACGATGACTTGCCTACGTGTTTACTTTAATGATCATTATAGCTAAAGAGAAATTATAATACCTAATGATAAATCATTAAGTTAAGGAATCGTTTTTTTAAAAATTTAGATAATTAATATTATTAAAAATTGTCTTTTTACATTACTTACTACTTTATTACAAGATTTAAAATACAATTTATGGTCGTCAAAAAAAAATTAGATATTTAACTATATTTTCACTATTACTGGCCGTTATTACTTAGCGGTTAGTTCATTACTTAGGTATATGCATATTAGCTTGAATCGACCAGCTCGATGACGTACATTGTGACGAATAGGTCTATCGTTTAAGATAAATAAATATAATCATTATCTGATATACAATAATTAAATATCTAATATGTCAAGCTGAATACCAACGCAATATATACACACGTAAGACACGTGTCATGTATATAAATATAGCTATAGTACAGGTATACAAGATAGTAGATATACACTCTCTAGTGTTACATATTATATCATATTCCTAAACTTTACCGTCTAAACCTACCTAACATAAAATAACTAATAACTAATAAGTAATAAACTAATAACAGTAGGTATACTATAAAACTACAGAATGCAGGTATAGGAACATATTGTGCAGTTGTAGGTGTGCTCTTTTCAGTCAGAATATAATAATATGTGACAGTAAATCCTTGAATATTACAATGGTTGAATATAGTGTATATGTACGAATATGGGTAAAGGGCACGTGGAATACAATACGTAAAATATGTTACATTAAAAAAAAAGGCAGGGCATAATTAACGACACAGCATGATGGGTATTTGTGGGTGCGGATGAGTTATTGTAAAATTGATAGCCGAAATAAGTCGAGACAATAGTTATGAAAAAGACAAAAATTTGTAACATAAAAACTAAAAATTTCGACAATTCTCATGTTGTAAGAAATAAAAATTCGCAGCCTCTAAAATAACCGGTAATAAGTAGGTAACGTTTTAGCACTAACCCGCTATACAACACCATGATGAGAGACCGCAATGTCCGTTCAAAAAAAAAAAAAAAATGTAATAAATAATAAATTAAAATTACATGATATTGGCGAGTACATTTTTATACTAATACACGATTGCTATGAATTATGATACCTATACATTTAAATTTTTAATCATTATCAGTTTTTGCTAATAAATCGTGGCGGTTGCACACCATAAACGATAATACTGTAGTTTAATAGGTACTAGTTCGGTTTATATTATCATTTGCAAAAAAGGAGTCGGCCCCGTTTTTCTTGACGCACCGATTTCAGATGTCAACTGCTTAAAATACTGCTATATGAAAAAAATAACGATGGTGAATAATAAATGATAATAATGTCGACAAAAACAATAACTATGTTTATTATGCAGTTAAGTTATTAACCCTTAATATTGTTGTCGTTTTTTTAAATAATTTATCAGATTAATTACATAATAATGTAAAAATAAAAAAATGAAATATATTATTTTTTTCATTGGTCTTAAGCATTGGCAACTATGGCCATTATTATTTTTTGTTTGTGTGTGTGTGAGAGAGGGGGGTGGTTAGTTGAGGAACGCGTGTGTATGTGGAATGAGTATTAGTCGCTAAAAACCCGGATGGTTACCCATCCGGATGATGTTTGATCATAGGCCATAGCACACATTAGTGTCTGCGGCTAACCATCACGCCCATCAAGGCTCTTAATTATTTATCAGATTGCGTTGAGATATAATTAAATTATTTAATTTGTTCGTATGTAAAAATATTTAATTAAATAAATAGGTATCTCTATAGTGATTAAGTTATGTAGAAGGCCAAAATATACTACGGCCGTTGTATAATATTGAATAGAATAAATCATATTATTTTAAAAGAATAACGTACATTCGATATTATTTTGCCAGCACACGAAGAATCAAATCGGCTGGATAATATAATACAATCGAATGTCTCTAACCATCAAGATGGTTACCCACTTACCTTACTAAATCATCAGGCTAACATTTATCAATGAAACCATCGTTATTTGTTACCATAAATAGTAAGGATTAAGGAGTTTTAAGACTACGGTTAAGATAACAACCAACAATCAGCTCGTTTGCCCAAACCGGCGTTAAAAAAAATGCACCGGTATATATATATCAATTGCACCATATAATTTATATGGATCATCCCGGTGCGCCATGCAGAATAATTTTACACCGGTTTGGACCAACGTAATTCTAGTATATATCACAATAAAGACTGTGAAGACTAAAGGATAACAAATCATAACAAACATAAGTTATTAAATATACCGAGCAAACATCCACGAGTAAAAAAAAATCTGGGAGATTACTTTTTTTTTGAAACCACACGGATTAAAGAGATCTAGGGTTGAGACACCATGTGGAAGAAGGGATTCTACTGATTTTGAGAAGATTTTTCCCTCCTTTTTGTATAATAGGAATATTTTATACAGACAAAATATTTGTCAATGCATTACACCACGTGAGTACATGTTATGTATCAAGGGTCGATGGGGGTGCAAGGTGATTAATAGGGGTTAATTGTATGGAGAATAACAAATGTCCATAGTACGTTTCCATATTATTTTGCAGAAACGGTCCGATTAATTATTCCCGGTTACGCAATTAATGTACAGCACACTGTTTAAATAAGACATATTTTACCCGTCCTTGTCGAAGGCGCTAAAGCAAGCGTCCATAATGGTGCCGGCCGCGGATTCTAGCTGGCCAGTGATGTGCGTCCACGGCGTTGCAAATTTCCCGCTCGTCGTCGTCGCGTGGTCCGCGTGACCGCGTCGAAATGTCGAATGTCTATATTTACCGCGATCGCGGCGCGGTGTGTTTAGGGACGGCGGCCGTCGATAAAAGTCTCGCCGTCGACGAGAGCACCCGAACTGCGGCGCGCCACGTACATCTCTGTGCGCAATTTCGTTTGCACGTATATAATAATAAGACGTGTGTGTTACGATTTTGTAGATATCTGAAAAAAAAAAACAGAAGGGAAAAAATGTTATGAACCCAATCGATAAAACGTTTATAACAATATTTCGTATGTGCACGCAAACCTGTAACTGGTACTGACGACGACGACGGCGACGACGACGACGACGGCTAGACGCGCGCGTGCAATGTGTCACATGGCAACGCGAACGTTTCGTTTAAAAACTCGGCGGTAGCGCGTCGACGGTAGGCAGCGGCGGCGGCCATTCGACAGCTGTGGGGATGGAGAGGGGCCGAGTGAGAATGACGGAGTGCCGGCACAGTGTTCGTGTGAAAATACGAAAAGTATAACAAATTTTACCTATGCACATTTGTACAATAAAAACATTATACAGGTACCGCCAAAATTTAAATATAATAACATATTATCGCGTACCCGCTTTCTAACCCCCCCACCACTTTTACCGGTCACAACACTCGTTTTTGCCGATTTTTTTATTAATGGGTTCGACTCCGCCTTCTCAATTCTTTTTTTCACGTGACCGATTTTTTTCTCTTCATTACTTTTATGCTACCTCCATTCTTTATAATCGTTTTTTGCACAAATCAAATGTACACGCACGCACACACACACACACACACACACACACACACATACACACACACTGCATTTACACCGTCATTATCGGGCGTTTATGTAAGCTAAAGTGCACGCGTTTTTTTTCCAACGCATTTTCACCATGGCCCTCGAGTTAGGTTACACATCTGATAAACTTTTATTCACTAAACTACCGTTGATTAATTCTTTAATATTTATCAATGGCCTTAACGCATAAATATACAAACATCAGCAGTCTGCAGACCATTGAATATATTGTTTATATTGTAATGCACAACCAATTCCCGGGAACAAAAGGTAAATAAATGATATTTAGGTACCACAACATTTTCACGGCAACGTCATCGACATTTTAATTACCTATATAATTTTACTTCAATGAATCGACGAATGTCACTACCCCATGAATTAATAATTTTTGAATTAAAATACATGTGCTTATAAAATTAAATTTTGTTCGTTTGTATAGGTAGTTTATTATCGTATATTCATGATTCATTAGTCATTACCATAAATAGTCGACTTTGTTGTACAAATATTTGAAAAGTAAAATTATATCGAGTTCACATTCATGTTGTATTTTAGATTGATATACTTAATAATTGCTCTCAGAAATAATAATAATTACCATTTACCATGTAGTCATTATTGGAAAAAAATAATTTTTAATTAAACATAATATTATCTATTTGGTTTCTGCGATAAATAAAACCGTTCTACACGTTGGACAATATAACTACGTTTTAAAATAATGGTATTAAGATTGCAAGTAACCAATTTAAATTGCATTTTGAAATTTTAATTTTTCTGGTTTCAACATGTTTTATCTGCTCACAGGGTATCGTTTAATTTTTAAAAGAACTATTTTTGACAACGTGTATTTTATCAGTTAGTACTGCTTTAGATTATTATCGCAGCTAATTGATAAGATTATAGTTTATAAGAAAAATATTTCGCTTACATATTATCATGAGTATTTGACTATTAACGATGACCGATATACAAATTGTTAATGTGAGATCAAATGCAATTCAGATTTCATGTCTGAGGTCTGCGTCTTGAATTATACGTATTGTTCTTTCTATTTAGAACAATGACTCATGTCAATTTATGTGCCAATATGAAATATGACGAAAAAAAAATGTTGATAATAAATTCAAAATTATATCGAATATTAATGATTAATGACGATTAGATAAATAGAATTGAACTACCTAATGGTTGCGAATTGCGATATTAAAGATGTTTTATGGGACACATACCGTTAATGTAAATCACCTTTTGTAAAACTGCACATTTAATAGCATTAAATAACATTCTAAACTTATTATTTAATATATTTTATTATACATTAAAATTTAATAAAGAAATAAGTAAATATTATAATATATTATAATAGCGAAGTTCGGGATTCAAGCATGAAGCATTGAAGCATCTATAAACAATTAATTATTATAATAAGTCGGTAAGATATTTCTATATTATACACGATTATTAATATTAATTGTTATTTATATTATGTATTATAGTAGGTAGGTGTTTTTTTTATATTTAAAAATTATTTATACGATGTATTATAATTATTATATAAATAATATATTATTATGTGCAAAAAATTACTAATTACTAATTATTATTGCTATCATTAATTTACCAATAAAAATAAATATGAGTATATAGGTTAAAATAATAAAAGATTAGATTTTGAATAATAAAATGTCAAAGTTCAAAAAGTTTACCCTTCACCTTCAAGGATTTTTATTTTATTTTGACGCGATGTAATAATATAAGGTATAAAAAGTGTTAGTATTCTACAGAATTGCGTGTTCGAATTTTGTGGAATATCACGAACTCAGTTTATTATAGATGGCAAAACTTTGATGGTTTTTAGTATCAAATTATTGACGCAAATGTAATTGTTTTAGTTTTAGTCAAAACAACAATTATACCAATAAATATTGTAAAAACCGGGAAGTCGATTTGCTGTATAGTAGGTTTTGCGTGTACTTTGCCATTGAGTAGGTCACTTTATGTGATAAATTATTGTATACTAAAAACCATTCTGAGCGGAGACTGTATTGTCTGCCTCAATTTTTATTTATATTGTATAATTTATATTTTGTATAATATTTACTATTTACTTTATTATGGCTTTATTTTACTATTCAGTAGATCAAACTTATTTTTGCATAAACGTAATAATTATTTTATTATATATGTATTAATGTATTATATATTACTGTCAGTATTAACTTATCAAATATGTATGTACCTATTTACCAATAAACGGTAAAAATAGCTTAAAATTACTCTAAACATTTTTAAAATTATATTATGTAAAGAAAATAATTATATACCTACGTACCTATAGTGACAAAAAGCTTCCAGTCTTCAAGATATTATTTTTTTTTTTAATTACTACAAAATAACTAAAATAGTTGGAGAAAAATTCGTTATTAGATTATGAACTAAGTAATAAATGCCTATATTTTTTTTAATACATTTGCTATTGGTTAAAGATTGAGCGATATAAATATATAATATAGTATTTGCAATGAGTATCGTTGTAGTGTATGGGCTTAACATTGCGTTCATATATATGAACATGTATCTAATATCTATATTCTATGTACATATATATATGTACAGTGTACACATATATGGACATTTATATCATTATTTCATTGCCCACTGCCCACGAATGGTTTGTGGTGTAAATACTATTCCAAATCCAAAACGCAGTTTAATATTATGAGTTATGATATATCATATATTTATAATATATATAATATATATATATAGACATTTATCTGCAGGTCAATACATGGTTTTACTCAATATGGTCTTTAGTCTTGGGTGTTCGCATAATAATTTGAACTTTGTAAAAAGTAAGTGTAAGTTCCATTCCAAAACTAGGTGCATATTGCATTATTGCAGCAAAATTGAGCTACGGTAAATATATATAGATTTATTTCTAAGTATAAAGGAAAGTGAATGAAAATTATTTATAAAAAACCGTCTTTATAATTCTCATGCATAGGCATATAGGTATAATTCTACAAAACATACAAATGTATCATATTTTTACTATATTTTTTTACAGTTCAAAAATAAATTCTTCTAAAGGTTAAAATTCTTATCAAAAACTACTAAACAGGAGCTACTCAACATATATTTAATACCTACTTAAGTTATTATTATATTGTTTTCAATAAATTAATAATGTAATAATAAATTAATTACAATGGACTTTACGATAACATTATGGCATTATTGAATGACATACATTAATTAAAGTTCTAAATAGATCTATACATACCTATTGTAATAAAGGCATGTAGCCGCTTAGAATTGTTTTTAAAATTAGTATAATACGAGTATGCCTATCAGTTGGTATTCTACCTAAGGGTCTGGCAAAAAAAAGTTCCATGGTATTAAAGACCAAGATAAAAGTTTGGTAAAAATCCAATATTTATTTTTATTATCATGCGATACACACGCAGGTAGGTCCTATTATTTTTTTAAATTAACACATACACATACTAACATCTAGCATGCACTTACTTTGTTTAGATATCTTTAGGTACATAAATAAAGTAGTATAATATAAATTCAGTGTTCGGAACGTTCACTAAAAAAATGAACTCGTTCACGTTCACGTTCAGTACTTAAAAAAGGAACTCGTTCGCGTTCACGTTCCTGTTTTTTTCAAACGAACGCGTTCACGTTCACGTTCATTCAAAAAATGAACGCGTTTATATATATCATAGGAACTATAATGGAAAATATTATTATAATATGATTGATTAAAATATTTTAAAAATATATTTATTAAATGGTAAATTAATTAAACGTCTTAATAATCGACCAAGTTCATTAAAAATATAAACGTCGTTCACGTTCAAGTTCTATTTTAAAAATACGAGTGACGTTCACGTATCGTTTACTATTTATGAACGTGAACGCGTGAACGTGCGTTCATGAACGACGTTCTTTCTAAACACTGAATATAATCATAGAAGAAAATCTTTGAAAAATAATTATAATTTATATAATATATATGAATAAATTATATCACCTATATTTAAACAATTAACAATGTAGCATATTTATAAATATTATACAGTTTAATCTAGTTCACTATTATATACGAAGTATACCTATACAGCATATAGTTATAATTAGGGTATTTAGGGTGTTTATGACGTTTTCATGTATTTTCTTTTGAGGTGTGGGCGAGGTCGAGTGAGGACGTGGTAACTATGGATATAACTGATAACTAATATGGTTTAAAAGTTGAGGTGTAGTCAATTATTGGTACTCTTCGGTTGCAACTTGGTTATTACAGATACCAAAAAGTCATGTCCAGTCACAATGCGATTTGATCGACACGACATATACGACGTAGGCACGTAGCGTGAATCCCTTATAGTCATGCATATTGCAGACCAAGTTATAAATTCGTTTCATATGGCATATAATCAGATACATTAAATTGTATTTTGCATATTTAGAGGTTTTGAGGAATAAGTGAATAT